TTTAAATCCAAATTAAATCATTTAAAATCCAAAACTTTGATTACATGAGATCTTTTGGATGTTCCAGGTTGTAATTATCATCATTATCATCATTATCATCATCAAACTCGAATCATACAATATCATGTGCAAAAAGATTGAGATTTGTCAAATTTGGCAAGTTGTAAAGAGTGAATCAAATCAAATTGGCAAGCATTGATGGGAGAAGATTTGAGCCACGTTTGTTACCCTAACACATTATACAATACATAAGCAAGCCACAAGGGACGAAATAAGGGTTGGAGGCTGCAGGCAGAGGCGAGACAAAACTTGAAAAATATACCAAAAAGCTTGAAATCGAATCCATAGCTAGAGGCATTTTCAGAAGCCAAGACATATCTCAATCGTTTCCTGGGTGTCCACACAAGCGATCTGGATCAAAAGCAAGCATTCTCACACACCACAAAGCGTTGTAAGTGTCACACGATTTTCCCCTGTACTTGGTTTCGTATCTCAGAAATTATGCATTGTTACAATGAAATAATTGCATATTTGTAATCACCATGCCATTTGCAAGCTTCTGACATTAACCAATTTCATTTATATGACCAATATGAAGATCTGCCATTGCTAGGGTTTCATCCTTGTTTTTGGGGCTTTTATTTTCAGGTACAATTGGCCATAATAGTGGCTATGGTTGTGACTAGCTGGCCAAGACAAACCCAACCATGCTCTGGGAATTGATTTATGTGACCCAGGGAAGATTTTAGAATAGGCTTGCGCATTTAGCTGCGGATTCAAATCCGCAGGTAAATGTTTTATAGGTTTTAGGACAGGGACGAAGAAGTGTCCCCTGCCCATTGGTCTGTTCAAATGGCGTGCGCCTTTTTTATAATTTTTTGGCCATTGACTTGTTTTGTTTTATTATTATTATTTTGTATATTACTAACAAACAAAGCCAAGCAGCCTAGTGTTAAGCATGCACATCCAATATCCTACAGGACCTGGGTTCGAATCCCAGGTCCCCATTTTCTCTATATTTTTCCCTTTCAGGTATTCCAATGCATGTTTGAACCTGCAACCCACTGTGCACTATCATCTATCCAATGGCCAGATGGCCAAAGGCCAAATCTGGTGGCCAAGATCTGAAGGTCTACCATGGTCCAAGTCAGCGCATGCACACCAAATCCAAAAAGTCAAACAAGGCCAGCGTGTTTTGGGCCTTTAGATTGCTATTCATGCCCCTGCCCAAACCTCTCTCTCTTTCTATTTTATTTATTTTGTTTATTTTAATTGTTTTATTATTTTTGTTTAAATTCTAACCAATCAAAAATTTCTTTTCTTTATAAAATAAAAACCACAAAAATATTTTCTTTATCAAATCAAATTTTAATTTTATTAATAAACACTAATTAAATTAACTTAGGTTCTAATTAGAATAACTTTAACATATTTTTTTGTAAATAATTAAAATTAAATTAGACTTAATTAGGTTTTTACTAATTCAATTAATTTTTATTTCTTTCTTAAAATAACAAAAAACCCAAAAAATAATTTATTTTTATTAATTAATTAATTTATTTAATTTAGCAATTAATTTAGATTAATTTCTTTCATAAAATAAAAAACAACAAAAAGATATTTTTTTTAACAAAAAGGGTCAAAACCCTAGAACTTTGCGCTCGATTTAATTTCCCGCATGCGATTTACTTTCTTTTACCAATGATGTATTTGCCTCCGGTTTGTAATAGTTAATAAGACCTTTATTTATTTTTTATCGCTTTATTTAATTTTAAAGGGTTTGTCTTTGGCGATGTAAATACCCGACGCCTTGTAATTTAAATTCTGCATTTTATTTCAGCAAATTATAACTGTTAGATGTTTGATAATAGGATGGCATGACAAAACTGAATGTTTTAACCTAAAATCAATTTAGATCACCCTTAACATGTACAAAGATAAAATAACTGAAAACGACACACTCGCACATGCGCACTCTTAGGGTACACTCCACTTGGTTTCCTTCATACGAGGTCATTGAGTATAGGTCACTTTAGAGGTTGCCCTCTTGTCTAAAAGATCATAGTCGCCTCGAAACGGTTGCCTCGGGTATTGTTGCCTCAAATAAATGATCTAAGACATTAGGGTTACCGCTAAGGCATCCTAACATTTCTTTGGTGACCGTAAGTCCCACATTCGAATTGACCCTTACACTCCAACGACGGTGCTACCTACTCATCAATAGTAGGATAACATTGTCTAAAGGAAGATAGCATAGAACGATTCCTTTTTCGAGTAGGTAGATGGTTCTTAGATACTTGCTCTTTTAAAAAACAAAAACTCTTCACACTTACACTCCTTTTCAAACAAAGTTTTCAAAACACTTCATTACACTCTTGAGGACAGAAGCAAGAGTTAAATTGAAGTTAAAACAAACTTTTCAAAACCCATAAGCACAAAGAAAACAATTTTTGAAAATGATGAGCAAGTACCTAAGAGCCCGTAGATAATTATGGATAGAAAGGGTGCTAATACCTTCCCTTTCTATAATCTCCCCCCCCCCCCCCCCCCTCGTACCTAGAAAATCTTGAAAAAGGAATTTTTCTGTGCTTTTTTCCTTTCCTTGTTAGATAAAATAAAAGTCGGTGACGAATCTTGCTTACCGTGACATTTTGCGAAAACAAACGCAAAACGCAAACCAGCATTCCAAAAACAGTCAGTTCTTCCCACCGTGTCACAGAACTGGCGACTCTGCTGGGGATGCTTATAAGTGGGGTGTACCTTAGGAATAGTTCATCATAATGTTTTCAATTGCTTTATTTGTATGCTTTATCTTTGTGGGTTTGAACCGGAGATACTATAGATCCTAACCCGGATCTGGGGGATACCCTTTAGGTAAGTAGCAATAAACTGTGAGGGAACTGTACGGCGTAGACCGATACGGTTGAAGTAGTAGCTACATTGGTGTGGCACTTTAGTATGTATCGATATCCCTTGTGGCGCAACGAGGATAATATGGGTCTGCTAAGGGGTCATTAAGCACCAACTGACCTTAGAACCTTTAAATTGACCAACTTGGCCATAGAACAGTAGCAGTATGCTACACTCATTGAGACTAAACTCTCGCGATGATTCCAACCGCAAGAAAAGTTTTCTAAACTGGAATTATGACCGATCGAGGGTAGTCAGTGATATTGAGATCCTCTAGAACCCGGTTACTATTTTTAGGACATGTTTGAACCAACTGAACTGAAAGAGGGTAGTACCTAGACTCCTTGCCAGTCTGAAATATAAGGGCTCTCTGTGTGACTTGTGTGCCTTTACCATGTTTGCTATTTGTGGATACTTGTGGTGTGTTTTCTATCATGACATCATAACATTGCATGAATCTTGCATTGGACTAACCTATTTCAAAGACAGGAGGGATTCATCTTTGTTCTATTTTGTAGGTCATGGCACCCATATGTAGGAACACCATTCGGATCAACTTTGTCCAGGTTCCCACTCAGCTTAAGGAATTGGTTGCAAAGATTTCAGATACTACCTCCTTTATCAGAAGACATGGTCACCTTCTTGGTTTAGTCACCTCCAAGATGGATGAACAGATGATGAGTGTCTTAGTCCAGTTCTTTGATCCTCTGTACCATTGCTTTACTTTTCAGGATTACCAGTTGGTCCCTACCTTGGAAGAGTTATCTGATCTGCTTGGTATCTCTATTCTGGAGCAGACCCCATTCACAGGCTGGGAGAAGATCCTTAGGCCAGAAGAGATGGCTTCAGTGCTCCATCTGACAAAGGCCGAGGTAATGGATAATTAGGAGACTCGTAGTGGAGCAAAGGGCATTTTGACTAAATTCTTGGTTGGTAAAGCTAATCAGTTTTGGGACAGTCTAGACTTCCAGGAATTTGAAGACATTCTGGCTCTTCTCATATATGGTTTGGTGCTGTTTCCTAACTCGGATTCCTTCGTCGACGTGAATGCGATGAAGATCTTCATATCCGGTAATCCTGTGCCCACTCTCTTGGGTGACATTCTTCATTCTCTTTATGCTCGTACTGCTCGGAAGCGGGGAACCCTTATGAGCTGTGCTCCATTACTGGCGAGTGTAATACCCCAAATTTGTCCTACCCTTTTACTTTTATCTGGTTTATGCATTTTCGCGCTTTTCTCATGTACATATCTCTATTAGGTCATTTAACATTGCATACATTCGCTAACAACATAATTTGGCATGAGATCGGAGATCTTTAAGAATTAGGGTTTTCGCCTGTAATATTCAATTAAGGATCATTAGATTTTCAAGTCAAGGCTATCTTACGTATTCCTATGTTCATTCTCCAGATTCCCTCAAGGATTTGTTGTTGTGTTAAGACCACTGTTGAACCATGATACAAGGTGTTGAGTTTGGAGATCCATTGTGCTCAGGGCGTCATTATTCCAAATACTTGTTGCTTCAATTACAAGTTAACTAGGATTTCAAGAGAAATGATATGTCAATTTAGGTTCATTAAAGCTTCTAATTGCACTCAAGATTAATATTGGTTTAAGGTCTCGGTTTCACGATTTATCATTTGGTTGATTCAAGATAAAGTTAGAAGATTCGTTCATGTGGTTCTCTTGGTGTACAAGTTACGAATTTGCAAAGAATTACAAGTCATAACATCATTCAAGATTGTTCATTTAGTTTTGTTCATCAAAACTCATCAAGATCCAAGGGTTCACATTCATTCAATGATATGATCTTTACAAGTTCTAAACATCATGCATGATTTTTCAAAGTGTTATCCAACATCATTATCGGTTATAACCATGCAATTTACAAGCTATGTTATTGGAGGATTACAAGAGAAAATTACAAAGGCCATTTACATCCAAAATTACTAAATCAAAGCAACAAACACACACTGCATCTTCCTTCTCCTCTCCCTGGACATGGCATCCAACAGCTTGTGTCTTTCGGTTAAAAACATCCTTCTTTTAGATTCTGAAGGGAAGCGTGTGACAGTTAAGTATTATTCATATGACTGGCCAACAAACAGTTCAAAATTATCTTTTGAGAAGTTTTGTGTTCACTAAGACTGTTAAGACAAATGCGCGGACTGAAGCTGAGATAACACTGCTTGAGAACAATATCATTGTTTACAAATTTGTGCAAGAACTGCATTTCTTTGTCACTGGCGGTGATAATGAAAATGAGCTTTGGCATCAGTTCTTCAGGTTTTCTTCGATGCAGTCACCCTTTTGCTGAGGAGCAATGTTGACAAAGGTGGGGCACTTGAGAACTTGGATGTCATTCTTTTATGTCTTGACGAGATAGTTGACGGAGGAATTATTCTTAAAACAATTGGCCCTGCATCAGTTAAAATACAAGTTCAGCCCTGTATCAAATTAATAATACTAGCTTAGGAAAAAATTCAAAACAATTAGCAAATGTTTAACAGTTTCGTTCAGATTCCAAAACAACCCTTAACTGTTTTTCTAAACAAAAACAAAAAATCATATAACTAACCTATACCCAATTTCCCAACCAGCTTCCTATAACAGAATTTTCCATAACTAATTCGTGTTAACCGCATCCAACTATCATAACAGAAAATAAATCCCTAACTAACTTTTTCTAACCTCATAACAGAATCCAAGGCTAGAATCCAACCTACTGTAACGAACCTGGCCATAACTAACATTCAATAACCAACCCAAAACAGTTACAACAAACTAACTTCTAACAGAAAGTTTCAACCAAAAAACCTTCAACAATTCGCATCACTCTTCATTTTCCAGTTTCAGAATTCTCTCCCTCTCTTCTTCACTTTCACCCAACCTCACCTTTCTTCCCTACCAACAACCTCACTCGAATTCTCTCGGAAACCTTCACATAATCACTCTTCTCATAGAGCTTTATCTTTAACCTTCACCATTCTTGCAAATATATCTCCATCATCCTCACCTCACGCACTGAATAACATCTTTCCATAATTCTCTGTATCCATAACAACTGCACGCGATCGCTACAAGAACAACAACATACACATTGCAGCAATTTGAATCGCGGAAACAGAAAAGAGTATAGGAGGAAAGAAGAAGCTGAATGAGCAAGGAGTAACGTAACAACAGAAAGGAGGGACTCATTATCTACAAAAACAGAAAAAAACGCTGAAGCAACTCACCTCTAACCTTCTTTTGATCCTCAACACCTCTGCGCTTCATCAATCTTCTGCATATTATTTAACCATCTTCAGTAATCTCCACTTCTTCAACAATCTTCATCTCACAACCTTGACGCGCCAATCATCATCAGTTCCGTATCATGCTTCTCACTGCAAGAACAAACGTAACTACATCAATCCTACGTCACCTTCGGCAACCGATCTGTAACCTGCCTCTGCAACAGACAACTCTATTTGCAACACATCATCATCATCTTCTTCAAACTCCTTTACTTCCATCATGGCATCACCTTTGAATTACGTCGACAACGTAACATCATTAATGCAAGTCGCTATTTCAACAACAAATCCTGTCAAGAACATTAAATTCTGAGTTTATTTCTCAGTTTACAACGCGTACCGAGACGGAAAAAGAAGAACGCATAAGGAGATAATTGAAACAAAAAACGCATACCTGAGTGTTAAAGACACACCAGACTTATCTTCTGGTAGGTGATGCACAGAGCTGACGGAGGAAGTCGCAACGTCAGAAGCAGTTTTGAGAAGATGATTTGCATGCGGTGCTGATTTGAAGAAGGAGATGAGAAAGAAGTAGCTTGCAACAGTGCTATGATTTTGTACGGTGGCGGAAATTGGTGGAAAGGAAGAAGGCGCAGTGAAAATGAGGAAGCCTTTTGTGGTGGCTATCGACTGTGAATCGGTTGGAGGAGGCGATCTTACGGTCGATCGCTATGCGAGAAAGAGAAGGATCCGCCGTTCACCATGAGGAAGCGGCGCCGTCGTGGAAGAAGATGGACATATAATTACAACCCTAATCCCTTTTTCAATTTTCAGTTTCAATTTTTTATTTTTATTTTTACTATTACTTGTTTTTTTTCAATAAGCTGACAAAGGCTAAGGCTAGTGGACTGAATTCGTTGGGCCTGCTACCTGCACCCTCTCATAAGCCCAAAAACACGTTTTTTTGTAACAGGGAGATGGCTTAGCAAAAAAGGGAGAACTTCATGGATTGGGCCCAGTATCCAAGTCCTGAACTACTGAGCTTACCACCCGAATTCCAGCATACACCCCCATGTGTTTAATTTTAATTCTTTTTTCTATTTTCCTTTAATTTGTTTTGGCTAGTTTTCTCATTATTAATTTTCTCTTTTTACATGATAAAATGACAAATAAAAAATAGTAGAATTCTTTAGGACCTCTTTTAGAATTTTCATTAGAGTTTTCTATTATTTTCATGTTTAATAATCATTTTGTTGTCATGTTTTGCTAAGAGTTTGTGATAGTATCGATGTAATCTTTCGCGATTGGGAATATTTGGAGATTAATTTTGGATCACTCATGCGGGGCAACTTATGTAGAGTTTTCTTATCACTTGCGTGGCTTCGAAGAGGAAACGGACCTTCTCCGTTCGGTATCGTCACAAATCTATTTTATTCCTTATTTCCGCACTTTACCACTTTCTAGATACCATAAGAAGTAGGAAATAAAGAGCGTGTGCTCGAAGTCGCTGTTTAAAGACCTGTAGCAGGCATTCCGCACTTCATTTGCTATATGTGTTGTGCTTGTGTTTGTTTACTTTCTTGTCGATCGATGAGTCACTCAATTTAGCAATTGAGATCACGACTTCGCTCTCATTGCATGCTCCCTATAGGATTTTATCGCTTTCTGTTATTTCTTGCCGATCGATGAGTCACTCAATTTAGTAATTGAGATCACGACTTCGCTCTCATCGCATGCTCCCTATAGGATAGTTTTTAGACTTTTCTTCGACATGCTAATCTAGGCAGGATCCCTTTAGGTGTGCTTCTCTGTTTGCTGGCTTGCTTGCTTCATCCTTGTACATACCATGTTCCCTTAGGATATGCTTGCTCTGTTCGGACGCAAGTTAGACCTTAGGTTGCAAACCATGCATGCTAACATTAGGTAGAAACTTCCCCTTTCATCCTTGAGATAGGGCTACCATTGTATGATAACATTAGGTTGGAAATAGGCTAGTCTCCTTTAGACTCTTTTCTTCCCCTTTTTGCATCCCTGCATTCTAAAACAAAAACTCATTTTCTTAAAAAATCAAAACCATGCTAATCATAGTTAAACCCTTTTTCAAGGTAACAAAAATACAAAACAAATTGAAACCATTTTGTGCGCTCGAGCACCTTCTCTCTAAAACCCTTTTCAGGTAAGGACATGATTAGTTTACTTCTGTGCCAACGCATAAGTCTCCAAAGGTCGAGCTGCGGCAGAAGGCGAAATTAACATTGTCCATAAAAAACACAAAACAAACAAAAACATGTGAGCCGAACTACGGTAGCTCTGATTCCTCAAAAAGGATACGTAGGCATTAGGGTAGGGCCCAGGCGAGCACAATTTTATTTTCCCTACATTATTTTCTCCTTTATTTTGCATGCATTCTCCCTTAGCAGTAATGAACAGTAAGCATAGATTAAACACACCCATAAGATAGATAACAAGAGTGGATATCATAGAGTACTACAGGCGTGTGGGGTGCTAATACCTTCCCCTCGCGTAACATACTCCCTTACCTGATCTCTCAGTCGCAAGACCGTGACTTCTCCCTTCTCAGGTTTTCTCGATGTTTACCTTTCCCTACATGTGGGATAAAAGACGTTCGATGGTGACTTCATTGTTTTGATGATTTTCAACCGGTTATTTCAGCTGGCGACTTCACTGGGGACAGGTCGACCAAATGATAGTCCATCCCGGAGTCGCTCCTAGATCTTTCTTTCTTTCATTTGGGTGTTTATCTTTACGCTTTTAGTTTATTCATTCATTTTGTATATACTTGAGCATACGTATGCATTGCATTTTACTGTCTTCCATATACTACTGTTGTACTGGATCTGCTTCTTGTTGGGTGGGCGTTACTATGAGGTAAAAGGGCCAATACCCAGGCCAGAGTTGTATACCATAGGAACCCTAGGAATAGAGTGGAACATGAACGGCTAGTTGACTTAGGTCTCGCTATCGCCGCCATGTCTTCCATGCTCAGATGATGAGGGGCTATCATTTTCACTTAGGTGATACGGCGATAGTTTTCAAGGAGTACCCTCGATTCTGAGTTACCATTGCCTTACCCTGACCTAGTTTTCACCCGTGAGCGGGGAGGGAATTCTTATTACAGGTACAAATGGTGACTATGCTCAGACAGTGACTATTGGTTCTAATGGCTATGTTCTGGATTTCTGTTATGACTTTATGCAGATGCTATATCTTGTTGGTGACCGTATGGTTCTCAGATTTATTTTCTGAGTTCCTGACTTGTTTACCTTGAGGTTCATTCAAGCCTTCAATCTTGGTATTCCCAGCATGTTCAGAAATTCTCAACAGTATCCGATGTTCCAGAAGCCTTGACCCCGTACAATGGGAGATCCACATGGTACTCGGTTCTTATACGTAGAAGCTATGTCGGACCTTTAATCTGATGATACTCACATGATTCAGAGCGGTGCAACAATAATATTCATAAATGATGGAACCTTGATCCTCTTTGATCTCATGCCTTTGCATACATAACATGGCTAACCACATGCTTAACATACACGTTCTATTATTTTCAAGGAATCATATTTGCAAGTCTTGCACTAAACTCTTCCATCCCTTACTTGCGCAAAATCAAAATCAAAGCACGCAAATTCCTTGGAAATGACAAAACATGACATGGCATTCATTCATACACGCCATGCATATTCATGCAATCATGATAGGTACCCGAAGATTGGGGATTCTTATTCAGACATGGGGTTCTCTTCAAAGGTTCAACCTGATTTCTCACCGCACATGCTCAGAGATCAGTTATGGAATAACTCCGAGTGGTACATGCAAGCTTTGGCTCGTAGTCAGAAACTTCTTCAAGCAGGAAGATAATGGATTAAATACTCAGATAAGCCAGGTCATGGAAACTCTGATGATGATGTCTATTATTTCTTTAAGACATGATATGCTTGGTGATGCGTAATATACTGGGGCACACGGCCAATCGATTGAAGATGGTATGTCATCCAAAGACAATGTCCAAGACAGGCTCAATCCAGAGACTATTGTGTTCACATCAGATCCAAAGGGG